ATGCGAAGTATTAATCTGTTTATATGGCATTATTTTTTTCGGCTTTTACAAATGAATGGCAAACCCCAGAGCATGCATCCGTTTTTCTTTTATATCGCTAGGTAATTTTCTTGCAGTCCTGCTATATTTGTGTTGAGTCTTCAGCTCATTATGAAGCACTGCTATCTTTCTATTGTCTTTGACTTCCAGTGGGTCGTCCATAAAGCCAGAGTTCATTGTTCTGACATCACGTGTTACCAGCCATATGTTGCTATTGTATTTTAGTTAGCGATCTAAGTACTCACTATTGCAGACAGACCTTACTGTCTTGGTGCTGCCCAAGTTGAGGTGGGTGGTATCTGATCGATCAGCGAGGCACGAAGACCTCTCACTCCCACAGAAACAACATGTGATGTCTTATTTCATACAACAAAGGTGAAATTTAAACGTGACCGTCTCGTGATTTTCGGGCCGCTTTGAAGCAACACCAGAAGTGTCTTTCATGGTGGCCAATAAAAAGAAGAATGACGTAAGCTACATGTCACACATGTTTCCAAAGGGTTAACTTTTGCAGCCTTATAAACGAAACCAGCAGTAGGTTAGCATCTTCGCTAAATTGTAAGGTATCATCTGCCCGAAGCGCCGCTTCTTCTGTGTCACTTCTCAGTAAATGCGATTTCCCAGGGCTTTTAAAAAGACACGAGGAGACCAGGTGCTGGACCTAGCAGTCAGGAGCTATTTTAGAGCATGCCGTTTAGAACGTTTCTAGACAGTGGGCGCTAATCTAATTTACTTTAAAGTATAATTGACGCCAAAGCATATACATAATTTTAAAAAACTGGACATCTTACATTATTGTAAAAAAATAATTGTATATTACTATACAATTCAAAACAAGCATGTGTGTATGAGATTTAACTCAACATAAAAAAATATTTTAGAATATTTGGATAAAGTAAATAATTTCCTACTTACTGAAGTGGGTAAACACCCAAAACAGAAGAATTGAGAACTTCATTTTGAGATTCATTCGCTGGTCAACTCCACATTCTCGTGTAGAGTGGCAAGGGACTGAGGTATGTCTGGTGAATGTAACCGCGACTCTAGCACAATGGATGCCGCCTGTCGGTTTAGTTTACGGAGTATTGAATATTGTATGACGTCTGTGCGTCATTTGAAAAATAAGCCCGCATTGATGGGAAGGTGACGATTGCTAAAATATGTGAGCGTTTAGCATTTCTGGACGAAATATGAATTTTCTATCCACCAGGTATCCCAATATCTCTCTCCCCTCTCCCTTTCATGTTAATGGATGTAAAACCCTGCTAACATTACAAATATCCTTAAAGTATTACAATACACACATTGGCACACTGACTTACAACTTAAATAAAAACTATAAACCACTTGTACAAGTGAAGTACACAAATATGTACATTAAAATGCACCAGTTCATTAGTTAAAATACCCCAATGCATAGTTATATACAAATATTTATAGAAATAAACCTTTACATGTTGAAATACACGTCTACGTTTATTGCAACAATTTCGTCTCTTTATTGAAACAGTCCGTACATTAAAATACACAACTGAGCACATCGTCATAAACTTCTCGTATGTTGAAACGCTAGTTCACACCTCAAAAAATTAGGAGACCAACTTCTCGTTTTCGTAATTTCCAGGTATTATTCTCCCAACCAAATATGAATATTTTTATCAAATCGGTTTTTAAAATAAATGATTTTGATAGAAAATGATTATAATTGTTGCATTATGGGTATCCTTGGTACTTTACAGTCTTGAAATATAGCCGCCTTGTTTTTGTTATCAAAGGGAATTATTTTCAATACAATTTATTTTGTTGGAAAATTTATATTTCTTCTTGACCAACAAGATTTCGAATTGTAAGTGAGAGAGACCAAGAAGCCCTATTAAAGCTTTATGTCAATACACTTCTTGCTTAGGCAGCGTTTCTCAAATAATAACCACAATTAGTAATTGTGCAGAAAATATTTTGGGTGAAATATAAGACTGCCTAGCTTCGCTTAGGTGTTTAGATAATACATAACTCCTATACAAAAACAAACGAATTCTAATCTTAAACACTATTTCCAATAATCATGATCAATTTCATTTTAAAATTTACAAGCAAGCGCTTTATCATTTTTCGCTTACTTTAATTACCTAATTGATTTGATACTTGCCGGCATAAATCGGGTGGAGGGAAGGGGGTTAGTTAACGAATGAGGTCCCAAAAGTATAGATTTCTGAAGCAGACCTCAAGTTAGCTCCTGTGTGCACATATGGGGAAAGCACAGCGGGCTGAGCATGAGACTCATATTTCACTGTGCCAGAGACACGTAAACATATAAACTCTACTTCACCTGCCCTATGAAACTAAACAAAAAAGGTTAAAATAATCACGTAAAAGAAAAATATTTTTTCCTAGACAAGGCTGGCTATTTTGTTACTCCCAAATTTGAAGCGTTTGCGGTGCCAGCAAGTGTGCTAACCGGCTTCTGACCGGTCTGCTTTACATACAGGGAGATTGCAAGAAATAAAAAAATAAAAATCCACATACAACTTTGGAAAAAAATATCGTATAATATGCATTTGTTTAATAATAAAAATTAAATATCCTTTACAGTTAGTAACACTAAAAACGGCTAACCAGTTTTTAACCCCAGATTTTGGGAAGGGATGTGGCACTATTTCACCAACGAAAATTGGAAGAATTTACACCCGAATGGTGTTTGGCTCTTAGAATAGAAACCATAAAAATACGATTTCTTAAGCCCCTGTTTTTAAAAAACGCAGCAACTTGATATTTGTAGTTAAAAAGTTACATTTCTCTCAATTACAACGGGAGAGATCAGACACTTTTACTTGATTGTATTCAAAATTGATCTAATCCAGAAGAAGAAAAATATATATCACGGATTTTTATGCGGCTATCTGACCAGTAAATAGCATAAGGTCGAAACTGGTGAGTTTGAAGGCGGTAGTGCTTGGTCAAAGTTTTAAGAGCAAAGATCAAATATATTTTTGTAGATAGTAAAGTATTGTTGAGCATCACCAAGATCTCACCAACTGCCAATTTTCTAGCTCTACTACAAGGCGTCATGCTACATGCCAAGTCCTAAGCTGCGCAAGGTATGCAAACACTAAGAAGCCTGCGTCGGCTTGCTCATGTCTGCCGAATGCCTGACATCAGAGTCGCAAACAATATCAAAGTGATGACAACCTCTGCTGAAATAAAGAGTTGTACGCAAACGGAACCTGAGGTTATCAGACATAAAGGATCACACTCAGGAGCAGCTGGCTAACGACAGAAGTGTCAGGCTGAAAGATTTTGTGACGATTTATGTAGAATTTGTGTTTCTGATGAGAGAAAGCCGTTCAGTTAATACTAGGGTACCGAATGGAAACACAGATTGTGATAATGCTGTTGATATGAGAGGTTGTCTGTGTTAGTAGTTTGAATAAGATCTGAAATAAAAAATAATATGCATTTAGTCAAATATATTAACCCTGTCTGTGATCAAGTGTTAATCCTTGAGAATAATTACAGTAGTGGAGCGCCCACTGTGTTAAATAATAGTATAGAAAATTGACAGACCTAATAGTTTGGTTTTTTGTTAATTTATCATAAATAGCTCTTATTTTTGCAAAGAATTATAAAAGATTAGCTACAGTTACTTACTTTACTTACTTAGTCCTCTTTGCTCCTTATGGAGCATAGGGCCTCCACCATTTCCTTCCATTTCTTCCTATCCTCGGCTATTAACTTTGACGTCTCGCAAGACATCCCTATTGGCTTCAGTTCTTCAAGAAGACTCCGCCTCCAGGTCTGTGTTGGGCGCCCTCTCTTCCGCTTTCCCTAGGGGTTCCACTCAAGCGCTTGGCGTGTAACATTTGTGTGAGCCTTTCGCAGTGTGTGACCCACCCAGCGCCACTTCCTCCTTCTTATTTGCACACCTATAGGCTCCTGCCTAGCTTTCCTCCATAGTTCCAAGTTCGGCACTTTGTCCTGCCATCTCAGTTTCAGTATCTGTCTAAGGCATCTATTCATGAAGGTCTGTATCTTTGCTGTGCTTGCCTTGGAGACTCTCCATGTCTCTGCTCCATACAGCAGAACTGCCTTGACATTAGAGTTAAATATCCTAATTTTTGTGGTAATGGAGATGGCCGAACTTTTCCATATGGATCGCAGGACTGTGAAAGCGCAGCGGGCTCTATTAACTCTAGCGCGTATGTCCTCCTCTGTGCCTCCCGTTTTGCTGATCTTGCTGCCAAGGTAGACAAACTCTTGCACATCATTTACCTGTCTTCCGTCTATTGACACTGGAGCCTCCTGTTTATTGTTAATTCTCATCATTTCCGTCTTTTCTTTGTTGATCTTCAGACCTACGCGCTGCGAGATGGCTCCTAATGCATCAACTTTTTCTTGCATGTCCTGTAACCTGTGCGAGAGTAAGGCAAGCTACAGTTAACATATTGGAAATGGTTCGTCTACATAATGTACACAAGCATTCAAAGCTAGTAAAAACGAATAGCTACGTGCGAGTAATGACTCAATAAAAAAAAGAACACGCAGGTACTAATGAAGGAACAGCACATTTTAAGAAAGAGTAGTGAAGATGCTCATATTGAAGATGCTAATGAGAAAAGAAATAACGACGTAAACATATAATTTTAGGTGTGCCTAAACATTTATTGTGTACAGTTGCAGACGCAAATGTTGAGATTGATAACAAATTAACTTAATTTATTTAGTGCGGTATTTTCCTCATCAATAAAATGTTTCCCATGCTAATCTTCCAATTATATTATTTTTTTCTCAAAGCTGGCGTTACAGTTAAATGCATTACTGACTTTGTGTAAATGTTTAGCGTGATAAAGATCCTAAGTATTGCCCGTCTAACGGGTTCCAAAGGCTAGTAATAAAGAATAGTGATGGCGTGAAAATTAATGATAAAAATTTGATTTTAGGTTAAACACAGGGTTAGGGATTCGGAAATGGCTATGGGCAAAGAAATGGAAAGGTATTGGCAGTGTGGTAATTACAAAATGTGATGACGTAGACGTGTTTATTCATCATAGGGTTAATGATCGGGTGGGTAACGTCTTACGCTCAAGTAAAGCATGCCATATTTCAGAAATAATTAGGTTTGATTTTTAGTTCTATGCTTATTTTAAGCTGTGTTTGTAATACTATTAGCTATTCTGTACAAATTAATTGTCATTTACTACATACTGGTTTTTTTTATTTCTGACTTAAATATAGATTATGCTGTATTTGAACAGTCGTGTTTTTTTAGTATTTCTTATAGTTTATCATTAATTTTTTTGTGTCTATGTTATTGTTTGTCTAACTATTGTTGTGTTTACGGTGTAAATAGCTATAATATGCTCTTACATGATACTATTCTAATATTTTTTAGTATATTTTAATTGTGTCATATGTGTTTGTGGTCAACAGGAGAGGAAAGTATAAAACAAGCGGTTTTCTAGTCAATAGTTTGACACTGATGCTTATTATATTTTTCCATCGAACCGTGATATGGAGGCATGGCAGTTATGTGTCGGTTAATTTTTAGATGCTGTCGCTGTTGTTATCAGTGCAGCCTCATGTAAAGCTCTTTAAATTGTCAATAAACAAACATATATGCGTTAAAAATTACATGTGTACACGGTTATAATTGGCTGGAGCAAAGTTTAGCCTATAAAGGCTAGTACATATAAATAGTTGTTTCTCAGAGGACAGACACTTTGTAAACTAAGATAAAAGTGTCATATAAACGCGCTTACAAACATATTATCGTTCTTCTGGCAATCTCACCTTCGATATTAAGACTTATCAATACTTACATCGGCTAGTTGGAAAGCTAATATTTGGGTATTCATCCTTTAGACCAGGGGTCTCCAAACTTTTCAGCCCGCGGGCCGCATTAACTATCAAATATCAGTTCGGGGGCCAGATTTTCTACTTTAAGGCATCTCTTCATGGACGTGGCACCCCCCCCCCCCCCCCGAAGAACATCTAACGCCCTCTCCCTCCCCCCCCCCCCCCAACGAAATATAATTTATATAGAAATATATACACATTTCAAGTGTCCACCCCCCTCCCACCCGAGGTCCACGTTTGCTCTCAATTTGTTCTTCACGTATTTCATTCTTGAAAATGTTTATTCACACAGGTATGTTTTCGAAAATTTGAAAGGTACTTTGATGCAAATGTTTTAATGTTAGGAAAGTCTTCCTTGTGCAAAAACGTATGAAAACTCATCTGCCCTTCTTTTAACGTGTCTCTAAGGAAGTCATTTTCTTGCAATTCAAGGACCTCCAGCTGCAGTTAATCTTTGCGACTGGTCACATTTGCTTCAAATGGGCTTTGAAACAGTCTCACTTCTTCTGCCTATGAAGTCAGAAAACCGCTACTGAAACTGCAGCTTGAGGTCTTTAATGATCTCGTATGCAAATGACGTGAGGAACTCTGTGGTTGCTTCAGCCGTAAAGACCTTGCACTGCTGAAAGTGTCAAGTTGTTAACCTGTTTGTCTCTGAACTATCTATGGTTAGATATCCTCTCCGGTAACAGTGTCATACATTATTTGTAGGGAAGTCAGCTCTTGTGTTATGTTCAGGTCTTCACCCACACCTCTAATGAACACACGAAGTTGAGAGGTGGAACAGCTGTCCAGCGACTCATCCATTGCAATTGAAAAATTGCTGAACTTCCTTGAATTTTTTGCTATTAGAGTCACTGTTTTCACCAATGTCTGTAACACAAAGCTACATGTTTTTCAAATAGTTTTGAATTTTCTGTGCAAAGTTCCTCAGCCACCTCCAACAAACATTTAATCAGTGGACAAAAAGATCGTCGCGGGCCGGATAAAATGACCTCGCGGGCCGCATCCGGCCCGCGGGCCGTAGTTTGGAGACCCCTGCTTTAGACATTCCGCTAAATCTCTCTTTATTTGTCTTTCTTTCCTCTTACTCTATCTGTCTCTCTGTCTAACTCTCTCTCTCTCTTTGTCTTTAACTTCCCCCTCTCTCTCTCTCCCTTTTCTCTTTTTATCTAATATTGTTTTTTTTCACAATCTTTTTCAAGCGTATGCCGGTTAGCCATGCAGACTTCGAGAGCGTGAAGTTTGTAAATATCATTTCTCTCAGCAGTGTCATCTACCCCTGTAAGACATCCCCATACGACACCATGTCATCAAATATTGAATACAACTTCAGCTATATATGGTCAACACTGCTATGCTATAGTTGATGGTAAAAAATAGCAACGCTATCAGAACGATTTACCCGTCAACGCCATCATCCGTATCAGAGCTAAAGCTTTACTTTAAAGATGCAGCTCTCGGTTATTCTGTTTGGAATGCTGTATATTTGTAGTAAGATTTTAACTTTTTTATAGATTTGATTTTAAAAAACAAAATATATCATCTCATATATATATATATATATATATATATATATATATATATATATATATATATATATATATATATATATATATATATATATATATATATATATATATATATATATATATACATATATATATATATATACATATATATATATATATATATATATATATATATATATATATATATATATATATATATCTCCGGGATTTGATCCTTTAGCTACTCCCCTCCCTTTTCTTGCAGTCCTAACATTAATTAATCTTTTGCATTATAGTCTAGAACAGGGGTTCCTAACCTTTTTTTTACTCTAGAGCACATTATAAAATTTCGGTAGGGTGGCGGGCACCACCTATTTTAAATCGACAAACTCCTTCCATAACTTGTCATTTTCACATAATTTATTTTCTTATTTTCTTATAGTCATAATGTATTAATAAGTAATAAACAAAAATTTTTCAAAATAATAAAATTATTTTGCATTTTTTTTTCAAATTGCATACACACAGAGAAATGTAGTTACAAAACGTAAAGAAAGGTTTTCTGCGTGTACAAGGTGTGATGTGCAAATGGCAGTAGCCGTTCCAGGCTAGCGTAAATAGTGCAGTCTGGCTCGCCGCTAGACAAGCTTGGACAAGTATCGAACCTATTTTATAAACCTAGGCAGTCAAAAAAAAAAAAATTAAAACTGTAACAAATAATTGAAAATAAATCATGTTTTAAAATAATGTTTATGAAAAGAATTCTGTCTCTGTCGAATAAAGAGAGGCGGGCACATACGAATCGTTCAGCAGGCGCCATGGCGCCCGCGGGCACAGGGTTGGGAACCCCTGGTCTAGAACAAGGTTACGATTCAATAATTTCTTTCTTGCCATCAGATCCGTTGGTTTATTATAATAAGACTGTCTAATTTCGAAACTACCCTTAAGGAAATTAATCTATCATTTGGGCATTATTGCTTTTAGATCTATTAACTATTGGGGATATTTAACTTCATGCAATAAAATTTAAAGTGCATTAGAAATTAAGAAACAACAATAATGGTTCATTTACTTTGTCTATCTCTTTGCAAAATATTTTAAACAAATCATAGAACTGGCAAGTTTGGCTGATTTCATTAAATACGCTTGATATGTTTAAATTTTTATCAGTAAACATATTCCTAAAATTGTTCTTTAGCGTTAAACATACTTAACCTGCACTTTGTAATATATAGTTGCTTTTGTTTAAAAAAAAACAGCTAACTCCATATCGATTAAGTACCAGCTACCACTGAACGACTGCAGAACTGATGATATTGACCTGCTTCTGGTTTCTGATTTATGGATAGATTCGGCTCTTCAAATCCGAAGATTTAAAAATATCGTCCAGTGGTTTTTCCCTATATCGAGCAACGATCCAATGAGACTACGGCTTCACTTGTTGAATAACGTGGACCGGTTTCACTTTGAATCTTTGATTCACTTTGATGATTATAACACGACTGACGGGTTAATGGCAGGTTTAAATCGGTTAGTTAAAAATCGCCGTTTTAAAAGAACGATTGATGAGGAGTCTCTTCGAACCATCAGTGTATGTCTTCTAAACTTTGAAGAAATATTTAACACATCAAGACGAGTAAACGCAAAGCGTCTGGCGATATTTGTCAACAATTGCAACTGTATTCTAAGTCAGGAAGAAAAATATTTAGATTACATTTTAACACGAGGAACATATTACCAATTATATTTACTTTTTGACAACTATTGTATTACCAGATTAGATGATGATAAGATACGAAATGTTCAACACCTTTCGGCAACAGATGATTTAACGAACGACTTCGCGGTTAGAGGCACACTGTGCAACCAATGTTTAAATGGATGGCTGTCCTTGATAAAAAAATCGCCTGGCTCAAATCTATCCTGTTTCTTCATAAAAGAATTGGATAGAAGTGTCAGTCGTAAAAACGTTTCATCTTTCTGTGACTTGATAAAAGCGAAATTAGTTACATTTGAAACAAAGGCAGAATTCAATTTCTTACAGACACATCTTGAAGGTATGGCTGGAAATAACACAGAGTATTTTGTTTATCTCGGTCTTACTCAAAAGAGATATCGTAATGTATATGGGTTTCATTGGGACAATAATCTGCCATTGACCTTCAACTTCCCTATGGGTGTGACCAATCTAAAGAGTACTAGCTTCGTGAGACACGTAGTCTGGATCAGCCCTGACCGGTCACGTGACAGCGTGACAGACATACAAGTCCACGTTGAGAAAAAGACACAGCTGGTGATTTGTGAACAGGAAGAGATTTATCACCCGGATGAGAGAAAGGTTGAAATTAAGAAATCGAGTGATGAACAGTTTTTTAGAGTCCACAATCACTCCGAGTTTGATTGTATTGACACTATTTGCACACTTAGTTTTGCATCGAATTTTAAACGTAAACCACCAGTAGATGTGGCGCCGAGGTGTGCAAATCATACCGCTTTTCCGGTGTATTTTGTATGTGATGGACACAAAGACTGTTCTGATAATAAAGACGAGGAAATGTGCATTAGGTTTTCTACATTGTCCGCACAAAAATTACCCTGCAATTTGAAAAGAGGTTATTCTACTAGACGTTTCTTCTCTGATTATCAACGTTGTGACGGGCACCCCGATTGTCCCGGGGGTGAGGATGAAGCGGGTTGTGATGACGTCTGCTTGGAAACTTTGTGTGACGACGGCACGTGTCTACCGAGTCAGTGGTTCTCAATCCCGAGTCGTGCGTGTAGGTTTGTGATGTCTGTCAACGGAGTTTTACCAGCTAATGTAAACATTACCCAAGAAAACAACTGTTCGGAGTTTTGTGGAAATAGACCTTGTGTCTACCCAAATGAACTTGCTCAAGGGATCGTCTTCTGTGACGACTTACATATGAACGAAATTTCTTGTAGAAATGTTCTAGAAAATAGAACATGGACAGCTCGTTGTGTTTACTTAAAAGGACGATATAACATTAAATTAGGTTGTTCGGATTTGTCGCATCTAGAAAACTGCGACACATTCAATTGTCCGGATGGTTTATATAAGTGTCCGTCATCCTATTGTATTCCTGTGTATAACATTAACGATGGGTATCCAGATTGTCCCTATGGCGAGGACGAATATATTAATTTAGCTTCTGAAAATCTTTTTAAATGTTATAGTCCTTGGGAAGTAAAAAATCCAGTGTATCTCTTACCCATTCACGTTTGTGACAACAAGGCACATTGTCCTCGTGGTGATGACGAGCTGGGCTGTCACGTGACATGTCCTGCGGGGCTCGAGTGTGTCATGGGTGCTATCAGCCCCGCCATTCACCCTGAACAAATTATCCTAACCAGTCTTAGTACACTAGACATTCACGCCAGATTTTTAAACTTGTCTGGCATTGATCTATCCCATGTGAGTCCTGCATCACGTGGTAATCTCAATGAACTTGTTGCACTTCATGCGTCCAACTGTAATTTATCGAGTGCCGAGAACATTTTTTTCGACCCTGAACTCGAAATCCATGTTTTCATTATAGATCTCAGTTACAACAACATCCGTGAAATCAATTCTGAAAGCATATTTTACCTAACGACAAACCTAAAAATGCTTAATCTTTCTCATAACCTGGCACTGCACACTCTAGATATTGTTTATTCGGTGGCTATAAAAATGAATTCGCTAGAGCTATCGTTCACAAACATATCAAACTTTAATTTTCAATCAAAATCACTTCAATTGTTAAACCTTAGTCACACCCGCCTAAGGTATTTTAATTTTTCTGACGGGAATATTGGCAGCATCATGTTAAGCACACTCGACGTCAGATCGACGAAGTTAAAAATAAACCAGGAAACTTTGGAGTACCTAACTCAACTTAGAGTCACTTCCGCTTTTTATGGGGACAGTTTTTACATATGTTGTCCCCAGATCCGAGGCCCTGGTATCCCTGGGGATTTCTGTTTCGCCCCACAGGACGCTATTTCTTCTTGTGAAGATCTCCTAGGCGACCAGGTCAAGCGGATACTATTGTGGATTCTGGCTGTGGTGTCTGTGTGTGGTAATCTGACGGTCATCGTGTTTAGGTTAGTGTTTGAAAGAAAACGTATCATAAAAAGTTATCGATTATTCGTAACGAACCTCAATATATCTGAACTTATCATGGGGGTTTATCTGTTTATCATTGCCGGAAATGACGTCTACTACCGAGGACATTACGTCATGTATGAGTCAGAATGGCGTCACAGCCCTCTCTGTACGGCTGCTGGTTTCCTAGCAACTCTCTCGTGTGAAACGTCAGCGTTGTTTGTGCTGCTCGTCACACTGGAGAGGTTTTTGGTCATAAGGTTCCCACTTGGTCCGTACAGGATTAAACGCTTCAAAAAGTATTTCTTACTTCTTGTGTCCTGGGTATTTGGTATCGTATTGGCCGTGGTTCCTTTGGTGTACCCAGATTGGGCCGTGTATTCCTCTAACGGCATGTGCCTTGGCTTGCCAATTGCGAGAAAACCAGAATCAGGATGGGCGTATTCTTTCGCAGTTTTCCTTGTGTTTAACTGCATCTTATTTATTCTAATTGCCATGGGTCAGTTGGCCATCTTTCTGGCCATGTCCAGAGAAAAAACACAGCTCCAAAGTAGCCCCGACAGTTTAGCTAAAAGAAGACGTGAGATCATGGTTGCCAAAAACTTGTCCCTGGTTGTCATGTCCAATTTCCTCTGTTGGTTTCCTATCTGCGTCATTGGTCTAATGACGGCGCGTGGTCACACGTTCAGTCAGCAGACGTACGGCTGGCTGGCTGTGTTTGTGCTGCCGCTAAACTCGGCAGTAAATCCGGTTATCTACACACTTCCGGTTGTGTACGAAAAATGGGAGGACTTCAAGAACGGACAAACGAGGGACACACCCAGCCAACATGCACCATCTACTTGACTGTTTTAGAGATTTTCAAACGCGGTAATTACTTTTTTCTTGTTCTTTCTGTGCAAACGTTTCCAAGACGATAACTCCTTTACATTTAATTTTTTTCTTTCAGTAATAGTAATTTAGTATTATTGTTCATGTTATAACAGAAAAACTAATTTTATTCAATGACTAACTTAGATGTCAAACGTAATCAGTTCGCTTAAGGTAACGTTTTTGACAACTTATATAAACAGAATGTTTAGATAAAAAATTTAACTGTGAGGATCTGTACATTTTCTTATTGTATTACCTGTATATTTTCTTAATAAGTTTTTAATCTTGTTATCTCCTTTTTTCACTATCAAACCCCGACCAGTAGGTTGCGATCTCTAAAAGACAGTGCCTGCCATTTACGTAGTGGACACTCGGAGAACCAACCGTGACCAAACTATATTTAGCGTCACCGACAGCTCAGTTCATTGGGATTATCTCGTCTAGCTTACCTTCAGTTATTGAATATAGTAATAAATCAAGTGATCGTCAGCATTTAATCTCGTTTTCTTTACTTAGTTTCAAAACTGTATAATTAGTTTTTATAGACTAACCCAATATCTAATTAGATTAAAAATGCATATTGATGCATTATCCTTGAATAAATAGTTATATTGGAAAATTTGAACTATGTCGGTTTATTAAAATTGAGATAGCCCCACCGGTGATTAACCCGATGATAAATTATTTCCTCTCAGTTGTTTTTTTTAGATTTTGAAATCAAAGCGACCGTAAAAATAATTTTAGAAATAAAAACTTATGTCTGAAAATAATTCAGAAAATAAATTAATTTTTTTAGAATCAATTTTATAGAAGTTGTACCCCACGCGACTTGAAACTTTTGTTTCTTAACAATTCTATGTATTTTAATCTAGCCTTTCGTAAGGCACACATCGATTGGCTGTACAGGAAGTTCGTGATCGATATTCTGAAACTTCCACTTCATAAAAACTCACGGTAATTTGTACTGAAAACTTCGCCGATACAATTTTTAAAGATTAGACATTTTCTTTTAAATTTCTGTGTTAAATAAAAACAAATGTGTTGGTATTTTTTGGCCTATTAACTTTCTCGTTTACTGAATGTAGAAAAGGCAATGTAATCGTTCAAAAATAAAATCGAGAAGACGTTTTTGACCTCCCTTATTCGAAAAATATAGTTTTGGAATCTTGTCCGTATGTCTGTGTGTGTCTGTGTGTGTATATGTGTGTCTGTGAACACGATAACTTGAGTACCGATACAGCTAGGTTGTTGAAATTTCATACAAAAGTATTATATCAAATGTGTACTTCTGTTACAACTTTTCAACGATTTCCAATATCCGAAAATGGAACTTATTTTACTTTCATTTTTTTCAAAAGCCTGTAACCTGAGTACTGTTTCACATAGATAAATGAAATTTCACAAGTAAGTATAAGATCTAATTCTCTGACTTCCATCAATTTCTTTTAGTAATTTCAGTTGAACTGTAGTAGTAAAATACGCTATTTGTGATTTCTATAAAAAAAACGCAGGTGAATTTATAAAATACTAATACTATTCCGCACTATTATAAACATTTTGTTTGGCGTTCACTTGGTGCGCAATTGTTTTTTCTACGAGATTCTATATTTTAAAAAGTTTAAGTAATAAAAAAAATCACGTCTATATCGCTAGTTGCCCCTTAGTGTTGTACAAGAATATTCGGGAAAGTTTAGAGGAGATCACTCCCGGTTTTTAAAATTTACTTTACTTAGTTACTGAGAATGCTAAAAACGTCAATTAAATCCAATCTTTAGTAAATTCCAACAAAAATCAAACGATTCCATTTTTATAACCATATTTATTTTTAAAATATCGTACATGATGTTTACAATATTTATTTGGCTTTTCTAATAATTTCGAGAGTATTCTCGGTTGCGTTCATTAAAAGCGTGTAGCAGGAAAGACAAAAGATTCAAAAAGCAAGTCAAATAAAAGCTAGTTAAATGTTGTTTAATTTCAGAGAAGAGATGGTTTGTTTCATCATGTCATATTTTTCTGCAAAGTAACATTTATTTTTCCCAATATTTTATTTTATATGTAAACATATCCAAAATAATATCTACGTAATATGATTATGTAATTTTGATGTTTCTTCTAATATTGTTTTAGCATTATTTCTTATGTTATAACAGAAAAAAATTGATTTTATTCAATGGTTTCAAAAGATGTAACTAATTGGTTTCATTGAGATCTACACATGATCTTGCTTGTACGGCGAGAGTTTTGTTCACATATAGCAAATGAAACGTCACACAAAACTTTGCTATTAAGAATATTTTCTTTACATTTTAATTAATAGTGGAAAATAAACCTTAAAAAATCTGCTTAATTTTAGGAGTTGGGATAATATTAAAGAGTAGGTTGTGTCTACATGTTGTAATTTTTTGTATTGTTACATTTGCATTTTTCTTCAGGTTTTCTGTACATACGTGGGCCTATTCACATTTGTATGCTACTTCGCTGTTTTTCGAATAGTATTTTAGCATGACACGTGATTTTGACAAATTACAAGTCTGACACTTAACCCTTTAAACACATACTCCTGACCCTAAAATTCCCGTGCCCCTAAGCTCCTGAGCTAATTGTACATCCAACAGACTATCGATGAAAAAATGAAGTCTTCGAGTATTACAACGCAATAATTATATTATTTTAATAACTAACTTGAGTCAAATAGGTGTGAATGACAAAAGGTCGAAATCCACAAGGCCGACAAGACAAAAGGCCGACATGAAAAAAGGCTGACTTGAAGATTTAAAACAAGTACCGAAAAAGCGATACCTAGGGTTGAAAGTTTTAATGTTAAAGCTTATTTGATTCAACTAGATAAATTTCAAAGATTGTTGGTACTAAAATGTTGAAATACAAGTTACATAACTCACACAACAAGCGTTGTGCATTAATTTTACAGTTCTCACTTTTGTGTAGTGCTGAAACATCCTTGTGATACACCATTTTTTCGGCTACGGCATATAAAATGATAGTGCTGTCAATATTTATACGACAATAAGTCTTTAGGTTCGGTAATTTATGACAGGTACTTAGTATCATCATACGGATTCCAGCTATGGATACGAAATTGAGTCTTTTGTGTGCGCTCTACCTTCAAACCACATCACTCCATTACAGTGATTATACAATGCTAATTAATTACTACAAAGCAGTGTATGCACTGAAAGAAACACGTCTAGAACGGGGAAAGGATTCCTGGATAATCGAAAATTTTATTGTCACTGCAACAATTTGTTCATAGGTACTAATACATCAAAACAATGTATCATTAACCGGTTCCTTATTGTCAGTATTTCAATGTATTTCTTGTAAAGTATTCGTTATCTATTTTATTTTAAATTTAATGTACATTTTTATCAGTCTACTAAATGTGTTGTCTTTTCAAAATGTAAAGTATCTGTACTAAAATCGTCTTTTGTTGTTTTATTTCTTGAAGTTTGAATAAAGTTCGTGTTTTTAGTTTTAATGTTGTTTTGTTTCTGGAGTTGATTAGTATGAACCAAGTAAAAAGTATTAGATACAAACAAGTAATGGTGATGCGCATATGGATGTTGTTATTTTAGCTAACACACCCACAATCAACAATAACGAATACTTAAATACTATTTTTCTTTTTACTTTTTGTTTAAACGGTAGGCCACACACGTACTTAAAAAAATTAACATAAAAAGTAGGTCAGTCTAACTACAATTTTAAAAAAAGTTAGATCATAGTAGAATACAAATGGCGGTGACGAACTCGATATGGCAAAACGGCTTGGGAGTCATCCATAAATGACGTAACACTTAAAAAAAACCTATTCTACCTCCCCTTCACTTTCCCGTTATCACACATTGACACAAGAAAATACTCTCAACATTCTAAATACAACATGTAATACCGGTGTTTCGCCAAAGAAAACTTCCAGGGAATAAATCACTATATATTCTTTGTCATCCTTCTGTACACAAACACCGGTCACATTATTAAGTTGAAATTTTTAAGTTGAAATATAAAATTTTCCGTGACCCCCACTTCAACCCTTGGGGCTGAATAAGGGGTTAGGGGGAGTACGTCTAAAGTTTCAGATGTTTTTTTTTCCTATGGACATCAGGAATTTATGACCTCCTTAATTTAAAAACGCATACTTAGATGAAGAGTAGAAAATGACTTCTAAAAAAATCAATGAAATTATAAAACAATTTTATTCGATTTAAATTTACAAAACAAGCTTCAAATTGTATGCTTTTTGAAGACCTCCCAAACGGTTATTACAAGGAATATAACTGTGTTGTTAAAATCTTTGGACTAAAAAATATCATCAATTAGACTTTCGCCCACAGCTGCCATTTTCCCACACACAGATCGAAGCCATTTGTTCTAGCCTTAGTGCAGCCTCGATTTTCGCACAAATTATGTCAACAAATCTTTACATCCCCCTCACACTGTGAAATAGATTGGTGTGACCTACTTAGGTCTTCCTTTATTTTTATTTGATTTTACTATTATTTTATTGGCCTTCAATGGTCTGTAGTGCAATCCAAAATTTTCCATCACGGCCATATGATAAGATTTACCAATGATTTCGCTTGGCTAGTCTTTGACTTTGGGGACGACATCCCATAATTCTGGGGTCCTATATATATCAGGAATTTTACTCTCTCGTGGCAGATGACCAGACATTTATCGAGAGAGAATGCCATGTACGACGCCATGTTGTATTTTCTAAGTTAATCAGCATTTTTTCCCTAAATACCTGTGCATTCCGTATTTTTCTGTGCCTCTATTTAACATCCTGTAGGTTGTGTTGATTACTTAAGTATCTTAACCAGTGTTAGTAGTTTCATTGTGTTATTCTTCAATGCGTAAGTTGGGTGTTTCATTATTTGTATATTTCTAATATTTTACGTAGAATCTAGAGTTAATGTTTTGGACTTGTATACATATTATAAGGTTATGTA